AGCCACAGGTTAACTTTCATGTTAAGACCATAATTTCCTTTGGATGTTCTTCTTTTGAAATAGGGGTTTTGCAGAACTGTACTCCTTTTGCTACTACTTTTTCCTTCTATTTCCATTCTAAGAGATCATTACTTTTTGTCCTTTCCATGTTATACCTTGAAAGTATCATATTCAGTTTATGATAACAACTTATGTAACTGTATATTTAGGAAATAAAATTTAAAGTAGATTGCTATAAATACCAGAATAACTTTGTTTTTAATTTAGCCATTTTAGCAATTCATTTCAGTGAAACCTGAACAAGGTATTGAGCTACACCCTGTGAGAGGCATAAAGATAAAGAGACTTGCTCCCTCTTCCCCATGAGCTCACAGTCTTGGGGAAAAGCTAGTTCACATCACATAATTCTCTTATGGGTCATAGTGTGACAAGTGACAAAAGACAGGTATAGAGATGTGCTATGAAAGTACTAAAGTATGAAAGATGTGCTAGTACTATGAAAGTACTAAAGAAAGAGATTACTTCTGGTTGGATGGTCAGGAGAAACTTCCTGGAAGGAACAATTCTGATGAAGAATGGGAAAAAACTGGCATTCTTCATCAGAATTGTTGGTGGGAACTGATATTCCAAGTAGAAAGAAACCACAAGCATAACCCCTAGGGCAGGAATGCATGGCATTCTTGGGAGTCACAGATGTGTGATACAGAGAAGTTGGGGAAAGGGGTCAGAGCCTCATTTTCAGTGTGATGAATGCCATGGTCAGGAGGTTGGACTTTATTCTGGAGTAATGGGCAACCATTATCTTACTCTAGGCTTTGAAACGGGGGAAATGACATGATCAGAGTAAAATTCATTTCAGTTTAGAAAATATATTGAGTGGCTGTAATGTGTCTAGCCCTGTACTTGGAGTGATAGTTACAGAGACACGTTCTTGATGTTGCCCTCAATGACCTTTGAGTCTAGTAGGGGACAGATATATGAACAGATAATATCAACAAAAAGTAGTATTTTGAACTAAAATAGATGTATGTACAGGAGGTTATGGGAGTCCAGAGAAAGTAATCTGGGGGCTAAGGAAGAGGTTGATCCCTGATACAAGTCTTGCAAGAAGAGTAAGAATTATTTGGATAAAGAGCAGAGGTAGGAATAGTCCAGACCAGAATAACACAGAGAGTAAACTCACAGGGCATCAGCTGGCATGGGATGCATAAGAAAAGACAGAAGTGCCATTTTATTAGCTTATTCAGTGGGGGGCAGTGTGGGGGTAGGGTAGGAGTGGGGAGCTTGGGGTAGGAATGGTCCTTTGGAAACCTCTTACAGGGCAGAGGCAGGGAAGCCAGAAGACTACTACAGGGTCACATCCTACAGTAGTGTGACATTGAGGAGGCAAAGCCCAAAAAGGAATTCCAAGCTTTACACATGACTCCTAAACATTTAGGGGGATTCAAGTATATACCGCTTGACAATTCCTATTAATATTCTGTTATTTCTTTTTTTTTTTTTTAAGTTTTTTTTTCTTAACATTTTAACATTTTTCTTAATCATTTTTTTTATTAACATAGAATGTATTATTTGTTTCAGGGGTACAGATCTGTGATTGCTGTCTTACACAGTTCACAGAGCTCATTACAACATATACCCTCCCCAATATCCATCACCCAGCCACTCCATCCCTCCCACCCTCCTCCACTCCAGCAACCCTCAGTTTGTTTCCTGAGATTAACAGTTATTTCTTAATATTAAGCATCCCTAGAACTCCCAGGAGCCTACTAGTGTCCTATCCCAGAAGGACCCTCACCCCATCTACAGAGTTCTTTTCCAACCACCTTGGTCCTTCAATCCCTGTTCTCTTTTTTGCTGCCCCAGTAGGTTTCATCCTCCCTTTGAACATTACTCTTTGTCTCTGTTTAGTTTTCTGCCTCCACCCCGCATCTTCACACATGGGTTTTACGCTTTCTGTGCTCTGCAGACAGGACTTGATGGTGTGAGAGCAAGAGGATTACATTGTGATTGGGTTGGGGGGACAGACAGCAGGAGCTTCTGAACCTGAATATGTTAATATTTGGGGGCCAGTAGCAATAAGATGAAAGATGGTGAGAAAGAGTTAGGGATATGACAGTATGATGGAATAGAAGACACAGAAGTGAGATAACTTTCAGAAACATATCCATAGCCTGACAACTAACTAAATGTGGGATGGAGGCAGAGAGAGGTAGGATTTTAATACTGGTTGGTAGTTTGGATGTAGAATAAACAACAGCAGTGTGATATTATTCACTATTGTGGGAATCCAAAAAGAGGGACATATTTAAGAGATAGGATTAGAAGATGATAAATTTGACCTTGTGTATGCTGAGCCTAAGGTATCAGCAAGATATTCAAGTCATATGTAGCAAACATACTGCTTTAATTTGATGCAATATGCTAGCAGTCTCTAAACCTTTGTGCACTCATGGTCAAACACCCTTGGAAGAAAACATACTATAATCCTCTCTTAGAGATTGATTATACACTGATAAATCCTGCAGTAACTAAACCCATCTAACTTAAGTTCATTTCCAGTGCCCCTCCCAATTTTTTTTCCCCCAGAATACCTATTAACATCATTTGGAAGATTATTTTCAAGGAACCATGTTTTAAGAAATTATTACAGTCCTAAGGAGCTGTAATTAGGGGATGATTAGGATCGAAAGAATTTGATGGGGGTGGAGGGGGTTGTTTATTTGCATGGAAGTGAGAGTTGCGGCATTATGTACTGATGAATCACTCAGAGTGAATAGAGAGACAAGCTTGCAGAAAGAACTTCTATAAACACCATTTGATACCTGAAATGGCATGTAGAGAATACAGTTTGGAGAGGCAACAAATTGTGCTTGCAAAAGCATGGGTAGAATTGACATGTGTGACAAGTGATCTAATCTCTAATATTGTTTTCCTACCTGAAAAATAATGCCCACCTTGTTGGGTTGTATTGAGACTTAAAATAGAAAATATATGAAGCACCTATCACATAATAGACACAAAATCTACTCTCAATAAATACTGTTATTAATATTTTCATTTAAATCTTCTTGATGGGTTGAAGCAAAGCTTTCGCAACCACCCTGCTCTATTAAAACCTAACTTTGAGCAGTTACATAGCAGAAATCTCCATTGTGGGTATCCATACCTAATACAAGAAAGTAATCCCAGTTCAGACAAGCCCAGGCCAGGACCAGCATGGTGCAGGAATAGACTCCCCACAAGCTAGGCAATGGAAGAAGACACCACAGGAATTTCCTAAAGGCATCTGTGACTATGGTTTTTGTTTTGTTTTGTTTTGTTTTTTAAATCCGCTTTGCATGAAGAGACGCTGGAAGCTAATATCAGAACCTTGGTGAACAATCTGCTCTCCTTAACAAATTTCTGAGCTAAACCCACCCTGGGCAAATGGCCTACAGCCAGTACCAGTCTGGCATGAGAAGACTTCCTCTGACAATAGTCATTATCTGGCACCCTCAGGGGCAGACTGGGGTGGGACCAGAGGGTGGCATCTGCAACAGAAAACTGAGCTAATGAGATATACTGCTGTCTGAATATGTCACCATGTCACAAATGCAGGCCTTAATCATTTTCACGCTTGGTCAGTTGAGCATACAAGGCCAAAAGAGTTCTGAAGTCAAAGCTAAAAGCTCTGCTAACCGCCACAGCACATTAGCTTTTCTTTCTCCGTACCCAGCCCCCAGTCAATTACCATGATTTATCCAGATTAGCTTATTTCAAATATCAAAGGGATGGTGATGAGAATTTGTTATTTTGCAGTTATTTCTGTAGGACTTCTGGACAGCAGTGCCTCAGGTCTCAGATAGTATGAGACCTTGTTGTTATGCAGATTAGCCGTTTAACATGACCAGCTAATATACTTAATCAGAAAGTCCTCCCCCAGGGCCCAACATATGGATAGAAGAAATCATTGAAAAGAGGGTGAGCAAGTCTTCAGGGAAACTTGTAAGATATCAGAATTGTTCAGATCCTTGGGAAGGGACAGAGGCAGGGTGGCAACTGGTTTATGTGTGTGAAACATGCAAGGGTCTTGTGGCAGGAGATGCTCATTCTTTCTCTGAGTGAAGATAGGCCAAAGTGTCAATGAAATACACCCTAGAGGGGCGCCTGGGTGGCTCAGTGGGTTAAGGTCTCTGCCTTCGGCTCGGGTCATGACCCCAGGGTCCTGGGATGGAGCCCCGCGTCGGGCTCTCTGCTCAGCAGGGAGCCTGCTTCCTCCTCTCTCTCTCTCTGCCTCCCTCTCTGCCTACTTGTGATCTCTGTCTGTCAAATAAATAAAATCTTTAAAAAAAAAAAAAAAGAAATACACCCTAGAATTTCATACGGTCTCTCTCAGGGGAGTACTTGCAGGGAAAATGAACAGTTATGCCTCTCTTATGGTCACTTGTCCAAGAATTACTAGACTGGGGCAGAATGAATGCACACAATACAGTGCTATTTGAAATGTGGTCCAGAATTGGCAGCATCAGCATCACCTGAATCTAGCATCATCTGGAAGTACAAATTCTCAGGTCCTACCCAAGGCATGCAGAAATCAGAATCTCCAGGCAGTTTGTTTCTAAAAGTTTCCCAAGTAATTCTCGAAACACTGAAGTTTAAGCAACACTGTTCTAAGCCTGTATTCAATGTGCCAATCATTTCCACTTTCATTCACTCACTAAACCTGCCTGGTTTCCTCATCTTTCTACCCTTAGTTTCTTATTCTCTTATCCTGGTGGTCCCTGATTAGACCGTGTGGTTATAGATAACACATCAATTTTATAATTTTTACCATCAGCAGAAATCAGCATTCTATTTAGGGAAAGCAACTTCATAGAGGCAGTAAAAATACTGATTCTTAGACTTGTGATTTGGTATGCAGCAGAAAAACAATAGTTAGAACTTCCAAAAAATGACTGTTCATTCCTAGTATAACCATGATATAAGTTGAGGGATTAAAAAAGGAGAAAACCACTTACATGGGCTGTAAGTTGCTCTTGGGAAGCTTTCACTTCAGCTTGTAATTTCTCAATGCACTGAAAAGGAGAAAAGTTTAGAAACAAAGAGTATAACTCTTCCTTTTACATATTCAAAAGATTCCAGATAGAAATAGATACTAGTTCTCAAATCCTGTGAATGGCAGCACTAATTTGCCTACACACTTTGGAAATCATCATTGAGAAATCCTTGCTCCTATCCCTGGGACCTTTTGTCCAATCTATTGAAGAGCCCAACAACAAAGAACACAAATATGCTAAGATTTAGGAAATGAGTGAGAAAATAATGTTTGCTTGATCTATTGAAGGTATTGCTGACCTACTTTATATTATATATACATATGTATAGGATCAAATGGGTTTATACTTACCTTTGGAACATACGGATATGTTTTTGTGTGAAAAAATATATATATGCCAAAGGCGGATACAAACCCATTTGAGTTGAACAAGAAAAAACAAATTTATATAAATGCCCAGAGATTCCAAGATTATTAACTTCTTATCATTGATTTAAGTGCATGATAAACTTTCTGATCTATTTATTTTACTACACAGAAGCTATTCATTGATTAAGTTCAACCTGAAAAACAAGGAAACATTTGTGTAGTTCATGCCACTTACAAATAAGTAGAATATTCAGCTAATATGGTCCAAGAGGCTCCATATCAAACAAACTTTTAAACTATCACTAACAAAATTAATTTTTATATGTGAATATTCATCAGGAAATACAATTACATTTACCAAATACAAATATTTTTATGTGCCATCTTGAATTTAAATACAAACTTCCAGCCTATCCAGATAGGACTGCAGAATTATCAATTCATATAAGTTCAGGTAGCTTTTTAAGAGAAAGGTTATTTTTTCTTCTACAACATACCTGGTCTTTTGCAAGAACCATTTTTTCATATGGTTCCCCACTGTCTTCCTTATGGGTCAGAGTCTCTAGTTTTTCCTCTAGCCAGGAAACTTGCTCAAGTAGTTTTGCTTTTGTTCCTTCAGAGGCTGCAAGCTAAAGACACTTCTTGTAAGTAAGGGCGTGCAAATAGAGTGATTTTTTTTTAAAGCTCCTTTTAAAAGTCTAATTATAAATATTTTGCATACCACTTATATCTATTAAATATGATAATGCCTTCTGGAATATTCCTCATAGCTGACAAAGATTAGTATAGAGAGATAAGGAAATAATGTTGATTTTATTTTTATTAATAGAGATCTTTCGGTGTAAGAGATGAGAATACATGGTTACAACAGGCAGAGCAATTTCTAGAGCAACAAGCTCAACAACACTCATCTTTCTTATGTTTTAAGATTGTACTTTATTTGTACAGCTGAAATCTGAATTGTGGCTTGTATGTTGTTCTTGGAACTTAACTCTTGGGGGACTATAGCTCTTTCGAAAGAGTAGGGATTCTGACTGCCATGAATATTCACCATATAAGCAGCTGAAGGGAAATGCAGGAATTTCAAGTTAAAGTCTGATTGAAGGCAGATCTATGCTAAAACATAACCAGAAAATGTCTGCGGGTGACGGTCTTCGTTTTACTGTTTGCGGATGCCTCTTGAGGAAAGGGTAGTTTGATAGTGCCTCATTCCTTAATTCCCTTGGAGAGCCCCTGGACTAGCATTTCCTTTCATTCAGACAGCTTATTGTGCATTTTCTCTATAGCTCAGCAACAATTCTGAAAGAGCCTCTGGAAAGGGACACACACCTTGTATTCATTCCATTTCCCAGTGTGTCCTTGGAGGCATGAATTATCTTTAAGTATCGCTTTCATATGACTCCAAGGGTCACTGTGAAGCCTACTGTCTCATCTTGAAAAGTGCAGCAAGTTTTTAAAGACAGTTTACCAAATGGGGAAGCAGAAGCACGAAGAGGTTGGTCTCCATGGAAATGAGGTGGGCACATCACATATAGGCTGGCATTGATCCAAATCCACTCATCCTTGCAATCATTCACTTTACAGTTATTTGTTTAGTTGGCACTCTCCACAGCCATTGTGTTATGCACTGGAGATTCCGAAGGGCAATGTGGAGGGCCAGAGGGGCACATACGTGATCAACGGCTGGCTACACCTTTCAGCTCTCAGTGAGTGACATGGGAGACCCGTAGTGCTCCTCACGGATAGTGATGCATTTAACTCTAAAGTACATGATAGTTTAGAGATGGAGCCTGGTTTTTCTAGGCACCCTTCTATTTATTCACAGTACAGTGTAATGGCTAAACACACAGACTCTTGAGTCAGACCCTTGGGGTAAACGTCTCACTTTCTTATTTACTGTCTGTGGGATTTAAGCAAGTTTCTCAGTCTCTCTGAGCTTGATTTTCCAATCTGTAAATGGGAATGGAGATGAAAAGAATAGTGCTTGCCTCACAGGTTTGTTTTGAGGATTACATGGGTTTATGCAAGAGAGATACTTAGAATAATGCTCAAAACATATCCTGTACTCAGTACCTATCGTTGTTATACTCTCTTCTACCTCCTCTAGATTACAGTAAGTATTGATAGGGATTTTATTCACACATTTATTATTTATCAAATTATAAAACAATGTATCTGAAGACATCACTGCATTTTTGAGCCAGTTGTCCTAAACTCGAGTTGTATTCAGTTCACTTACTTCCTGCAACCACTCTAGTGTTCCAGGAAAAGGCCTCACTAAATCTGGCAATTTTTTCTCTCAAATATAGTTTTTCTCAGGCTGGCCTATTTTGTTCTCATTATCCTCCCTGACCTTTCATTGACCAGTCACCATTTGGTTGTCTTTCTTTTAAATCTACTTTCTATTGTTTTCAGGCTTTTATTTGTTCACTCAAGAGATATTCATTTATTCACTCATTTGTTAAAGAAATATGTTGAGCACTTATTATATGTAAAACTTTAGAGGTAACACATGAGAGTGATATTGCTTCTATGCTCAAAAAATTTACACTTTACCCAAAAAGGCAGACCATTTTAGAACTATTATATAATATGAAAATACATAGGTGAATAATAATGACATTAATAATTTACTGGGTGCTAACTACTTATCAAGCCCTCTGCAGAACCTTTTGTTTTCACTTTTATTTATCTCGGTTCTGCTTCCTACCCATTTTGCAGGTAAGGGAATTCAGTAAGTTCAGTAAAGTTGTGTAAGGTTGTCCTTTGCCCAAGGACAAAGCAAGTGTCAGAACCCAAGCTTTCAGCAGCAGACATTGGATCTGATTCCCTAAACCCAAATTTGACCCCAACTCCTAAAGCAGGGCCTGAGAATCATGAAACCCCCATTCCCTTTGCTGCTGATTGGTTCAGGAATCAAGGTCTAAACCAATTAGAGTCTGGCTTTTCTTTGGCCACAGTTAACTATATGAAGAGAAGTGAACTAATTTGGACCCCTCACAATGCACAGGAGGAAATTTGATGATTTGGAGAAGGATTTTCTCTTACCTACCAGATATAAATGCTGCTGTCATCATCCTATAAACATCAAGGAAACCAGTATATGGTGAAGCAACACTGAAGAGTGGACAACATTATTGAAATGTTTTCTCAAATAATCTTGAAGCACGTCCTACCTTGGACTCACTGAGAGTGAGCTAATAAGTTTCCTTATTGTTCAGAAATTGAATTTTTTGTTACTTGTTACCATAAGCATTCTTTTGGTACACTAACTGATTCCAAAGTTCCAAGCTCTTGGCCAAATAAGTCAAATCTATGGAACAGCAGCTGTAATTAACATTTATTTAGTAGTTATACCTTACCATGAATTCTGCGGGGTGCTTCTTGACATCAGTTACCTTAGTCCATTGTTCAAAACTCTATAAGGAGTTTTGTTTTTATTTTTTGTTATCACCATTTTAAAGAATGAGGAACTAGATACTTTTTGGAGTGAATTAGCTTGCCCACAGCTAATAAGAAGAGGTTGGATTTGGGTCTACATTGGTCTGCCTCCAACTCTGGGTTCTTATTATATCCAAACCCCCTAATGCTTAGGCTGCCTGCACAGATGAGGCCTATGATCTGAGCGCCACCCTGCTCCATCCTCCCCTAACTACATGACCCTCAGCATTCTTTCTCAGCATGTTTAGCTATTTACCTGAGAGAAATTTATTTTCTTTTATTCTAAGACCTGAGAACTCTGTCCTAACATCTTGCTTCTTTTTTTTTTATAGACATCAATACCATCTTTTTTCTTTTCCTCTGTCTGAATACCCCTTTGACTCAGGTATATTTACCTCAGGCTTAGCTTTCCTCTAAGGAACTTTGACTTGTAGTCAAGAGATCTATGTTTTAGTCTCAATCCTACAACTCACTAACACTAGGACCTTGGTAACCATAATAGAATTGTACATGCTACTTTGCTCTATTTTTATAGGGTATTTCTCCAGTCATATGTGTTCAAACTAGATTATAATTCCCCACAAGGATGAATGGAGAATTCTGTCAAAACTTACAATACGTAATCAAATTGGCTAGGAAAAATCTTTGCTAAGATCATTCTATTTATTAACTTTGTAAACTTAATTCTCATATGTATGTACCATCACCTTACAACAGCAGGATAAAGGAATCTTATTTTTTCTTCCACATATGGATACATTGGGGGCAAGAATTAATAATTTCTTGTTGCGTTCCATTTTATAGTGGTGAAAATGTTTACCGGTTTAAGACAATATTTCTGAGCTCTCTTTGAAAATAGCCTGTCAAATAAGACTGATAATCCAAAAGGATAGAAGAGAAAAGAGATGGGAGGTAAAATGAAATAAAATAAATGTTAGACATCAGAGATGTGTTTTTTTTTTCTCTTAATTTAAGCACTGCCTGAAAGGTTGTGCTCTATTGCTGAGTCACAACATGTTAGTTGCCATTTTGAATTTACGCCCTTGTTTAGATGGGGGTTTTAGGACTTTTCAAAGTCTGATTTTCAATTCAGGAAGCCTTTAGGAATGCTGCCTAAATTCAAATTCAAATTATGACACAGAAAAAAAAAAAGCATCAAAGTAAGTAAGAGGAAACCCAAAGTTACCCTGCAAGATATCATAATTGAATTTTAAAACTCTGGAGACTTTGGGCATTGCTTCTTTTTTGTTGTTTTCTTTTCTTTTTTCATAAGAACCACTTGGTTTTACAGAGTAATTGTTCTGGGGAGCATGGAGACAGTTTAGTCCAATTAGTGTCAGTATCTGCTTACATAAAGAGAGTAGAAATATATATCTTCTTTAAATGACCAATTTTCATATATCCTAATTATCCACTTTGCTGAAACAGGTTCACATGGTGTTGGAATGCTAATGTTCAATTTCTGACTCTTTTTGACAAACAGGTAACTTTCCCTTCTGCCTGTGGTTTTAACAAGTTTGGAGGCAATAGATGACTTTAAAAGTATGAATAATATTTGTCTTAAGAATTATAGAAAACAGAGAGGCAACATCCATATTATACCTTTGAGGCTATGTAAGTACACTAAAAATAATCAACTTCCAATATTTATCCCAATGTTCCATAAAAGAGCATTAAAGAAGTATTATAATATAGCTAAAAGTGAAAGAAAGTAAATTTTATCCATTGTGCAGTTGATTGACAGGGTCAAAGGGTACTGATATATTTTAGAATTGTATTCAAGATAGTGGTTAAAGCAAAACAACTTGGACTTCACTTAAGATGGCAGAGTAGGAAGCTCCAGGAATAGGTCCTTCCACTTAAATAACTATTGAGCTGGCAAGACCTGGTAGAACCAACCATTTCAAACTCTGGAGTCTAGTAGAACACCTGCAGCATCCCAGTAAATAATGGATGAAGAAAGAGACTGGCACTCAAGGAAATCTCTGTCAGGTCACCTTGCTAACTATAGAAATAATGGAACAGGAGACTTCGATGATCATACATGAGAAGAAATATAGTCCTGGAAAATTAATTAGGAAAAGTAACCAAACAAATATACAACTATAGTCCTTAACAAGCAACAGCAGCAATTCTTGGTTTAAGGCCAGGAAAGAATCTGATTTCCAGAGTTATCACAATGCAGTAT